CTTTCGGTTGTGCAGTGTGCACAGGTTGTTTTATGCCACCGCAATTTAGGCTGTTTACATATTGCGCGGGCGGCTGGAGAGAGGGCGGCTACAATGAGGAATGGTAAGGCAAGTTTGGGTGGTGCAGACCCGATGAAGGATCCGGAACTTGCGCCGTTGCATGACTCAGCATGAGAACGTCAAACCACAGCCCTGCATGGCGACGATTCCTTGCTGCTGCTGAGACCCTCATTAATTACTTATAGCTGGGGCTATAAGCCCAAAGTAGCTCATGAAATCCTTGCACAGCAATAATACCCATGAGGATGGCCCATCCATGGGAACCTTGAAGATGGAGCCCCTTTGGGATATGAGGGGCTTTCCCAAATCAAGAGTACGATTTTGGGGGTCCCCAAAATAGTGTTATCATAAGATCTGGGGTCTATAAATTGGGGTCTGCTCATTCATGGAAGCTACCAAACCTGTACACCCGAAACTTTAGCTTCTAAACACACGTAGCCTCAGCCGCCACTACTGTTGTATCTGTTAGTGGGCCGTGCGGAAACTGCTTTCTGAATTCACCAAGTCACAGCAGGCCTCGGAGAGGATGATCTGTCGATTGCAAGGTGAGCCCCGTCGGCCGCAGATGCAAAAAACAGCGTAGGTCCAAGGGGCCCAAGTTTTTGGAGTTCCGATAAGAGTTGTAGCATGTTGAGGTCCATAGTTTTGTGTGCCCACTTAAGGAAACTACCATCTGAGTTGAGGCCCCTTGTTGGCAAGTCTTGCGTCGTTGCTTGCATGTGTCCGTCATGTCCAGTTCTCGGACAATGAGAAGGTCTTGGAAACCTCGGCGCCGACATGGGCACCCTAGAAGAGCCGCATTAAAGTCACATGGTGCATGTTTTGGAGGTGAAGCTTACCAAAATCCCCGTACTACGGGTAAGGGAAACGGACACCGTATTGATGCGCTAGCGCAACCACATATCAATTCGCATGTGCTGTCTCCTGCAAAGGCTACCAAAGCTCGGTGCCCGCTTGGCTCCAAGGGCTGCATTAAGAAACAGATCCAGAGACATCATACTTTGGAAAAGACTTCATGTAGGGTTCAACGCGAGGCCAAAACGCATCCGGTTTCTGCCATGTGCCAGGAGGCGAGAACTGCTGGTTCAGGTACTCCAAGGGACCTGGGTCTAGGGTTAAGGGCTCAAGGGTTTAGGATAGGTTGAGGGCTTCACCTTTTTCGGGGCCATATTTCCTTCTAGTTGTGCTGGTTTGAAAGTCCCGGGTTTCAACCCTCAGTTCAGGACCTAAGTTTACGCTTTAGGACATTGCGTAGCTTGCGTTGGCGGAGGGAGGGGTAGCTGTCCACATACTTGAAGATCTGAAAGGCAATTTAAGGGGCACGGTCAGGGTTTGTTTTAACAAAACTCCCATGTTACGAACAACATTACAGAAGAGCAACATGTCTATCTCAATATGGCCATTGCGCCACTAGTCAAGGAGACCTTCCGACCAAAGCTTCTTTCTAAAAGGATCCCGATGCGTAGCTTGTCGAAATCATGCTCCTTTTTCAAGAGGTCCCTAAGATAATCTGCACCTCATTATACAGGGTACCCAAACAGGGACTGCAAGTTTGACAACCTACCAGCTCGCAGCTACTATCACCCCCAAATCGACATGTGCCAGCAATTTTGGCACCGCCACCCTAAACCCTAAACCCTAAACTGTCAACAGTGATCGAGGGGCCAAGCTTCTGGTAGGGAACCTTCATGCGGTGTAACACCAGGACGTTGTAGGAGAGCCACACGAGGACACCTACAAGGCTTGTTTAAAGGGTTTAGGGCCCTCAAGCAAAGAGCTGTAGAGACTCGAGATTACAACTCGTGTTGATAACTCGTTGGGAGATTTGTTAGCTTTTCAAGGGTTCCTGCTGTAAAGATGTGGGCTCCATACAGGTGATCCTGAGTTCAGCATTCTCAAGAAAGATTGAAAGACAGAACAGCCGCAGAATGATAATTTCCTCGGGCTGCCACTAATTTTACATGAAGGTTTGTCTCTGAGGTCGAGCTTAATGGCAAAAGCAAGCACATGCCTGTCCATGCCCTACCCAAACTTTGCAAAAAATGTATGGGACTAGCTTCTAGCAATGCTCAAGGACATGCATTCGGCCTATAGGAACACGTTACACATGCATCACGGCCCTATATGATGCCGGTGTTGTCGGCCTTCAACATTCCGGGCCTGGCTCACGCGTCCCACGCATACTACCCAAATATGACGACTGGTCAAGCGAGCTTCAACATCTCGCGCAAAGTCCCAAGTGAACCTAGTTGCTTGAAGCTACTGGAAAGGCTTCGCAAAAGACATTCCGAATAAATGGGGCGCCCACATACTCCCAATGTAGAATGTTCATGGTTAAGGTCCGAAGGAGCAACATACATGTTGAGAGCTCTCATTCCTTGCTTTTGGAGCAACACGGGCAACAACCCAGCAGACTTGCCCCGTAAAACTTCCCAAACACTCAACAGCACGGCGCAGCGCTCCCACTTCTCAACCATCAAACTGCACATTCAGCCACAAGCTCGAACACTGAAGCATAGGATACCCATTGGGGCAATATTAGGGTTATATTGGGATAAAGGAAAACTGGAAACTACTATTTAGGGCTTAGGGCACGGGCCTAGCTCTAAGCCCAAAGCTCTGAATCTTGGACTTGGAAGCCAAGTCGAAGCTTCTAAGCCATGAATTGCGCTATCTCTCCAACTCCTCAGGTTGCTCTAAACTATCAAGTCGTAGCGCCTGGGTCCTGACTGTCCTTCCTTTTTTGGACCTACTTGTTCTATGACATCCCCATCATAAACTAGCAGTTTCCGTTTGGCTTTCCACGTGCTTTTCCAATTCGATCCTCCACTGTCCTGAAATCCAATAGCATTGTTGGGGTCAATCTTCTAGACCCTGAATCCTAACCGTAATCCCTAAAGCCTACACCCCAATCCCCTACGCCCTACATTGCCTGAACCCTAAACCCTCAACCCGAAACCGTTTGCCAGCCAAGCATCTCAGCACAACCTTGGTGCAAATCAGAGCTAACTGCACCTCAGCTTCGGCTAAAATCGTTGGGTCCTCTAAGGGGCCGGGGGTTAGTAGGGAATAAGCTATATAGAAGGTACAAAGAGATCTCGGGTTACGGGCCCATACTAGGGGTCCATGGTTTCAAACTTGGACTACGAAGCAGTTTGACCTATCGGTCCTTGGTAGGGTCGCTGCAAAGAGGATTTGTATTTTGGGGTTATGTCTGCATATGGTCTAGTGTGTATGTGTCAAACCTAAACTCTAAACCATATGAGCTATATTCTAAACTCCTAGTATCCCCCTTGACAACCCCCGAAAAGACTCCCCTATATAACCCCCTTTAAGGAGTTTACGCTGATTATAGCTCATATGTCCCATTCATGTCCCTGAAACGCTGCACAGGCTAGAGTAACTGGATGCGGTTTGGGGTTTAGGGTTTAGAGTTGGGTACTACCTTCACTCAGTAACAGTTGGATAATGGATTTACTAAAACTGTATATGGCCCTGTATATTACCAATCGCCAATATTCTAAACTAAATCCCAAAACCCTATATGTATATATGTGTATATGTATAGGGTTTTAAATTACCCCTGCTATAGGCTGGTATCCGGGCACCCGAGGTTTCGGGTTTGGGTGCTGCTTGTGTGGGATCAAGTGCTTTTGATCTGGCTACTTCTTGAAGTTTTTCTGACCGCGACTCAGTAGGAAATAGAACAGATTATATAGGGCCATATAGGGATTCTACACGGACTATATAGGGATTCCCTACTAACCACCTGCAAGTTATGGAGTCTAGGATTGGGGTCCCCCTATGTGGCGCCCACATGGTGGGATTCTCCGTATCACATGAAGACCGCCTTGAAGTACTAAAGGACTTTTTGAGAAATATTTGGTGGTTTCCCAAAATTAGGGATACCTTTTTGGGGGTCCCTATATTAAGAATTATAGTATTTTAGGTCTATATTGGGGTCCCCTTATTTTGGGAAACTACCATTCATCAGCAGAATTGCCCGATACAGTGAACTGGAGGTGGACTGCGCGGAGCCCTGGTATAACATGAGCGTTGACAATACTGTGCACGCATTTCCTGCTCTGTGCTTGTTGCCTCAGGGGCTCAGGAGATGTAGGTTTGAGCGCTTAGTGGAAGGGTTTTTTGTTGGGGTTTCCAGTGTTCAGCATTTTACGGCTCAGACGGATGCGTACAAAGACCCTGCATTTGCACATGTTGCAGAATCCCAAGATGATCCTGGATCCTAATCAACCCTTAGCCTCGAAGCTAAAGCCCGCACAAGTTGGGGTGGAATGTAAAGACCAGAACCATTACCAATTTGAGGTCCACTTTGTAATCAATCAAAAAGATCCCTAGAAACCCTCATACAACCCACTTTCCGTTTAATTGCTCATCGTCTTCTCCATTTGGTTCTCCATTTTCTGGTCCGTAGACAGAAATGTCTGCTTTGCACACATCCACGCCCATGCCAGGATGGGAGAAGCTCTTCAATAAATGTTTCCAGACTGGCCTTCAAGATTTGGTTTAGGACCCCAGGTTTAGGGCACAACCTCACACAACTGGAGCCTAGCCACAGGTACACAAGCTGTCGCTCATTCAGCCTCAACTTTTGAGTCCTCCAAAAAATTGTCAGCAAAGTCAATCCCCACGATTTGTGGGAAGGCCCGTATTTTGAAGGCGCTGCCTGTTCGCACTAGGCCGAAGCCTGTTCGAAGGGAGTAGATGACTTCAACAAGGCTAGATCGGCTAGATGAGCATGAAGCACTTCTTTTCTCAAATCCTTGACACCCACGTTCAGAACTGCCGGGGCAGGCACCGTCCAGGCTTTTGCGTGCCTTTGCTTTTTGGTGGTTGGGATTCTACACTCCCCCAACCTAACATGGAACCCCAAAGGTGACCTAGACAGACTTCTTCAGCGGGCCATCTTGTTCCATGCTAATTTGTGGGAGGGGGGGCTGACCCAAGGGAGGTCTTTTCCTTAGCCTGTAGGGCTAAGGGATTCTTCATATGTGAGTTTCCTAACATTATTCCTGTAGAATTCTCGTAGGGAACCCTATACTCCTTCTAGAATCCCTATATACCTCCATGGTACCCTGGGTAGCCCAGTACTGCAAAGATGGGCATCAGCCTGGTTTACCCCAAAAACCATAGTCCTTGTTACGCATGCACCGTCCTCCTTAAACCTAGCTTGCCTTTCCTATAAGAAGACACTGTAGCCATCTACGAACCATGCGTAGTGGAAGCAGAGTAGCTCAAGCGGGGCTACCGTAAGGGCGGGTCCCCGGGCCGTCCCCAAGTTAACACCCCTACTAGGCTTCCTAAGCACCCCCTACTGGCATTATTCTCTTTCTGTTCCCTCCAAACCCTACCAGCCCAGGACCAAAAAAGAAAATCCCGAAGCATAGAAGCTTGGACCAAAACAGTCCTGAACCGAATCTACTATCGCCACAACGCTTCACAAGAAGTTCTACTCTAAACTGAATGGGGTTAGTCAAAATGATGGAATCTAGGGGTATAATATTGGGTTATCTAGGGACTCTATACGGGTGATATAGGGAATATGATATATAGGGATTCTATGGGGATATAGGTGGCAGTCATTGGCCTTGCTATTGGGTTTAGTATCTAGGATTTTGGGTAGAATTGAAACCCCGTCATGAAGTTCCCGAAGCCCAGCGAATCTATGCACCTTAGTGATACAGCCAAACTATACAAAACTCTTTTTGTTGAACCTGGGACTCACAGCAGATGCCAGGAGGCGAAGCAGCTGAAACTGCTGCACCTGACTTCACCTGCCCCTCATTCATGTGATGA